TCAGTATACTTAGATTTCAGTTCAGTTGAAATAGACTTCACTGCCCCCTTTGATCATTGCATTCAATCGGGCTGGTCTTTGTTAATAATCCAGGTTTCGACATACGATTTTGGTCGCGATGATGTCGCCGTGATCTTTTTGTGCCTCTCAAAACACGTGATTCGTCTGGTAGTAGGTACTGAAAATTACATACGTCGCACTACACTTTAGAATCACAAAACTATGCATGCCTTACCGCGGTGGCTTGTTGATTGAGCAACCATCGATACGCTTGTAATCACGGCGATTTGGAGTTTAGAGTAACTTGTCTGAGCGATAAGGAGAGACCTAAGATGGTGGGATATAAAACAAATGTTGTTTGTCCATGTCCACCTGTTTTTCTTCAATATGCTCCGAAGTAGGTACAACAGTGCTGACAACGGAGTACGCATGCGAATTGTTCTGGCTTTCGAAGAGGGGTAGGATTGGCGTGTGTTGTGAGACACGATGGGGTTGAAGTATAAGACCGCTTACAAATGGATTAAGGCTAAGGAACTGCAATAAGAATTTCATCCGAAAGGCAGAAGAAGGAAAAAGGTTTTGAACGACACGGAGATTGACAAAATGATCACCTGGTTGGAAGAAAACCTCACAATCGCAGTGGAGTTGTTGAGGGTCCCAAGTAAAGCGGAGTTCAATTCAAAGTGATGGCTTCTCAAATGAGTCTTAAAATTAAGGGCTATATTAGATGGACTACCGTGGCTGAAGCATGAAGAAAGCCTTCGAAGCGGAATAGATAGGCCTGGGATGGTTGAAATGTGCCAATATAGAACGGATACAATGGGTAAGTGTCAATTGGAAAAATTTTGTAATACCATGATAGTTGTTCTCGTGACCGTGAGAAGGAAACCTCCGAATGGAGAGAGGGTGGCTGTTTGCACGTGTGTTTGTGTACCGAAAAAGCTGAATTCAGCTCACGTAACCTGGTAAAACCAGTTGGTTCACTAAGACGAAAACACACTGTTGAGTAGAATCTTCAGCTGTGGTTCAAATGCACTTTTACCTGACAAAAGTGTTTCAACTGGGTAATCACAACTCACAAGCCCGTCCACACACACCATAGACGGACGGACGGACGGAATAAAGGGACAGTGACAAAGCCCGTTTGGTTTGGCTCAACGCGTCAGGTCCGAGTCTCGGAAAACATGCAAAGAATTTCAGCATCTTAATCCACTGAAGAGGAAGCTGATCGCTCCAAAGGTGAAACATTGCAAAGAGCATTCCATTTTTCAAATCGGATCGATTTGTTAGGAATAAAGTGTGAATTATTTTCATGTTTCTTGAAAAATCAGACCCGAAGCTTTCAGCCAAACCAAATGTGTTTCGTCCCCATTGCCATTTCGTTGGGTAAAAATGCAACTGAACCGCAGCTGAAAATTCTACTCAACAGTGTTTTCCTCTTAGTCATCACTGATACAGATCGCTTTGGCGCCAACCCACACTGGATATAGTTAATCTGTCCATTGACTTCAGTTAGCATTCGCGAAAAAATTAAGCGATCAGGTTAAAAGAAGACCAAAATGACTATTTGGCTGTTACCCGTTGAGGGAGGAGTATGTAGATCTGGCGGTTGTAGATCAAATGCTGTTCAAACGATATAATGTTGAATGATTGTTGTTGTTGTTATTATTATTGTTATTATTATTATTATTATTGTTGTTGTTGTTGGGCACGTATTTCGTTCTAACATTGGTTTTCTTCGCAGCCACTCGCAGTCGATTGTGCGAAATTTACCCCCATGGAAAAGTTTTCTTTATGAAAGCCTTCTCTTCAATCCAATACTCCCAGAACTTACACACATAAGTGCGGTACCGAAATCCATTAGTGATGTGTTCTGAATCCGTTTCGGATTTGCTCTGGCCAGATTCAGTGGTGCCTTTGCATTAATTTCTTTGCAGCATCCTGCTTGAATTATCATTATTTCTTGGGTGTGATTTATTGAGCTACAATATCCGTTGAAGAATATGAGGTGTTTATTGTGTCAATCTATTGTTTGAGTGAGGGCTCGAGGACAAAGCGGAATGAGACATAATAGTTTCGTTCGGTGTGATAGCAATAGCGAAACATTTACAACAAAAATCTGAGGACGGTTGATAAATGGAATAGCTACTCTGAATGTAATTTCAGTGCTTCATCTTCACTGACGTGTAACTAGTGAAGAATCATTTGGCTGATCTTCAATTGAAATTTTTATCTGAACATAACTGATGAAAGTGACTACGAGAATAACAGCCTTAAACCGGGTTATCGGAGTTCCCATGTTGAGCATTGTTGTTTCCCTCTGTTTATCAAATGGAAATTTTATTGATTTTGACTGCTGCGCAGATCATTGCCGTCATTGCGCTTTCTCATCTATGTATCCCATCTTTTCTAGTCGTCTATACTTTCTTACGTTGAATTAGCAATACAGTTTCCTATTGCCCTTACACTCAGGAGTTTATGTAATCTATATAATCTCTCTCTCTCTCTCTTGTTGGCTACTTGATTTACCGTTGCTGAATACATTGCATACACACACACACCTTAATTGAAACTGAACTACTTTTTGCGTCCGTCCGAAGGTATCACTGTGCTTTTTCGCTTGCCTTTTGAAAAGACAGTCGGAATTCTGAGCCTCATAATCCGTTCTGTGTTTCTGTCTGGACATGAGTCCGCTACCCACTTTGTCTGTTATACTGAGTCGGACATGGTGAGCTAGTTCACTCTAAGTCGGGACAGCTTAGGGGGTATTGGTATGTGTAAATGTTGTCTTTTTGTCTATCACCACTACCACTACCTCAGTCAGTTCAGATTTATAGACCTTCCAATAATGGATATCTAGAAAAGGAGGCTGTTTGCCATTTTGCAACATTTTCGATTATGTAATATCTTGATAAGTTTTCTGTGCATCAATAAAACATGATCATCACGGTTTTACACACACCATAACCTGACAGATTCATCGTGTGATGACTAGATAGATATCACGATTAACAGAAGACAATTGTTCTCTAAGCGAGGGATGAGTTAGAAGTGGATGGGGAAAGCTTGTGTGAGTTCTGGCATCTAGGGAAGAAAGAAATCTTCCGTCTCTCTTTGATAGCATGTTCATATTCGTTCATCTTGCTCACGGATAGCCTTGGAGACGAAGAGCGGACGGATACAGTGATCTCCTCGGAACACAGCGACTTTCTTCCAGATGAATCGTTGCTCGTTTCCCGTCCAATTCTTTTTCTAAAGATACTTGTAAATCTTGCAAATCTTTCAGTTTGTTTTCGGCCAAGTTAATTTGGTGAAGCAGTTGATCCAGCGATTGGGTTAATAGATCTACCTCAGAGACCAAACTGAAAATGGGAAATAGGTGTTGTGAGATACTACTCACATGTGACTAGTGGTTTATTTCAACGATCAAAAATCAACCGATGGCAATTTGATGAGTCTCAAAGAAGAACTATCGATTTCTAGATTCCTTACCCGTCGTATGGACAGGAACTGCAACGGTATGTTTCTGATTAGATTTTCTGTGCTATTTATGCCAAATTACTGACCTCCCGTCAGTAATCCTCAATAAACGACTATCCTCGCTCAGCACCACCTTGTGGAGTTGTAACACAGGGAGTACTGTTACTATGTGTGTGTAGGATTAAATAATATGTATCAATATGACGTTTGAATTTCGTGACAAAACTTGTTCACATACTCTCACGGGATGGCAGAAATCGACCTTATCGTTCCCTTTAAGGGATCTAAAATCGTGCTGGATAACTATATACTTTGAGTAAGGCTCAAAGCTTTGAACTCCAGATATGTGATGCACTAATTGTGCTATTCGAACACATCAATGTGCATGTTGTCGCGCCAAATCAGTTTAGTACTTTATCCTCTTTAAATCACGTGTGATCAAAACTATTTTGAGGAACTTTAAAATAATAACTTTGTTGCAAACATGGCTATCTTAAATCAGTTTGGCAATACTTTAAGTCAGTTTCATCTCACGTGTTTTGCTCGAAAAATATCGACTAGGAAGGAGTGGATGCGGGTGTACAAGCACTGTGGTTTTGCTTTTCTATGCTACTAATCGATTGTTCTTAACGTTTACGACAAATGAAAATCTTTTGAGATCAGACTGCATGTCTGTTTTTGTCACATCGAATGTTTCGTTTAAATCGTGCGAACGCAAATAGATGTGTCGTAGTTTTTATTTCCTTTCCACTGCTATCGTGGTAGAAAACCGAAATAAACACATGTAAAGCTCGGAGAACTGTCTAAGAAAAAGAAAGTCATTAAATCAGATTTTATGATCGTTATTATTGTTGTGCCGTTGGCCCCATTCTTATAAGCAAGCCGGTGATATACATGTATTTATCAATTGAGAAAAGATGTATTGGTGAGCTTATTTCCCGAGTCATCATTGAAGCAAAGTTGGATCAGCATTGAGCGAGTGATCAGAGCAAACACAAGTCAGTACCAAATCAGAATCGATGCCACGAAAAAGCCGTAAGAACGGAAGCTAGATAAACAAGCATATAGACACAAATGATCAAGTGAATCCTTGCTTAGGAGACAAAACCCACGAGCGACCAAGGTAGAATATGCCGCTTTCCGTGTCTTCTGTGCAGAGGACTATGTCTGAAATCATGATGAAACTGATGAGAATCGAGCTTAGCTGGTTTGCCGAACAACACCATTGTTGATCGATTGATGCTTGACACTGTGGACCTGGATTCTTTTTTGGGAAATGCGCAAAATACACATTTGGAACTGATTCATTTTTATTGCTCCTTTGACCTAGGATAACCTAATGCGCTTTTACAATAGTCTCTTGATTTTTTTCGATAAATCCCTCTAATGGTATCTCGGACCAGTTTGACTAATTTAAAGTGAAACGAAAATGGTTTTTTTTAAAGGTCGTAGATTGCATTGCACGTCAATTTTTGCCATGATCATTCAAAATCCTTTATAATACCGCTAATCCAGTCTATTCAAACGAAAATGGAGATGAAACAAACAAGATGGTTTAAAACTTGCCTTTCCATTGCTGTATCTTTGCATAAATCTGAATTCGGGCGGAAACCACGCAAATGAAGCCGAGTTTGAACCACCTTGAGTGGATCATCCTTGGCGCGAATCGCTTCTTTCAAACGTTCAATATTTCTCTCCTGTTCCACTACCTCATCAACCGTCTTTGATTATAATTGCGGGAGGGAGGGTGGGTTGAAGGATAAAAAAGATGAATAAAATTAAGGGAGATCCAGATCGTTGGACACGTACAAGTAGTAATGGATTATCAGAATTCAGCGACTATGTGAATTTGGCTTCCCAGAAATTCAAAGCATTTAAGCAGGGTTAGTTTGCACTCTGCAACCTGATAAAACCTATTTGCTTCAGTCATTCAAATAAACAGCTCATCAGAATGCACTGTAAAATTATCTTCCTCAATAGTTATCCATCATATAACCTTAAGCAACGTTATCATTCACTCATAATCCGCGAAATGCATAAATTAGTAACATGTTTATTACAAGCATGTTGCATTTATTTGTGAAATTCTGTTTCGCAATGCTATTACTCTGAAGCTGTCCCTAGTTCTTTCCAGAAACAATCATATGCAAGAAACTGCGTTAGGTTTTTATGGGCCCCGAAACGTCAGTCACAGTCATAGCAACCAGTTGTGTGATCTTGTAGAACAGTACCTGGAAGATGAAGAACACAATCAACCCTAGATCTGTAGACTGTCCATCGATATGCAAATAAACCAGAAACATGCACAACACGTGTCCTAATCTGTAAATTTTTCGAAATTTTGACTCACTGTGGAAATCGCCTACCTTATCAGGGTGATTTTTGACTTAGATGATCACTGCATGTGGATGACGAAAATAAGCTAGAGGTGTTCAAAATCTGTTACTCACGACGAGTTGGATATGCTGATTGACGCTGTGGATTGTACAAACTGTACAGACCAGTGAGTCACCGCCATCTACTCGGGTACTAAGAGCTTTGAGCAATGACCCATCTACGGTATGCGCTTCGGAATCCCAGTCGCAGGTGATCTCGTCACCGATCGCTGTTCGTACGCAACTGTTATCCATAATATGCATGGAACCGGCTCATTCCACAAAGCGAGCTAGCTGCATAAAACATCAGTAATTACGAAGTTGTTTCAGTTCATCCTAAGTAGTTCACACTTTACACAGACTTGTACTCGTTTCTGTTGTTACTTCCCTATTGGTCTTCGATTACGCATCTAATCAACACAACCAGTCTGTTCTCATACAGTCGTACAAGGCACACGTAGTCCGCGCGGTCATGGAACATCACTCCACAGGATATTATACATATATATATATCTTTACATATATTTACATATATCTCACATCTGAGTTCAATCTGTGTGCCAAAACACAGAAAAATAATCTTTCTAGAGGGCAGGATATCTTATCTTATCTTCCAGGATGGGGTTAAAGAGACTGCGTAACTGGTGAGTTGGAAACCCTGAACGTGGCAGCGAAACAACAGCTGTGGTTTTCTCGGTGTCAGTTTTCATCGGGTTATGTATGATACTTAAATGTATGCATAATTAGATTGTGTAGAAATCAGTTTACCCAAACCAGGGCCACTCGCTATCCAACTTGCGCATTTGTGCTTACTTTGTGCATGGTGCAAGTTTCGTAACGATCAACAAAGTTCGATTCACGATAGATCGCCATACGATGATGACCGTCACCAACAATTTGTCTTTTCCCATCGCGTCTAGTACATACACTGATTTATAAATCTGTTGTGACTTAGCATGTTTCATAAATCTACCTTCTTTCCGAAGCTGAAAGCTTCTTAGTAATAATTGCAATAATTTTTGAAGGATATTCTGTGAGGTCGAAGAAAAACGATCACTCGACAGTTGTTTCATCCTTCCTTGGTAATGCATGTCATCTTTATGTTCCGATCCGGAGTCTGACTTAAAACTTATGTTGAGAATGTAGGAAACAAGTGAATCAACGACGAGGAAGACTAATAAAAGATCAACAACACAAACTCGGTTTTTATAATGAATCCGCATGAAATATAAATGAAACCTTCAAATTCAATAATCTTCATCGTGTTGCATCAATCCGAACTTGGTATGCATGCACCTAGCCACATATTTCACAAAAGCAAACTTACTTTCTTCAGTTGAGTTTCCAATTCAATTTTGGCCGTAATCATTCGATCAATATTCTTCGCAAAAGCCCGGCATACCAAATCATGGTGCTCACGCAGGTCACGTGCGGTCTCCGTAAGTAGATTGGAAATCAGCCTGCGGAGTTCTGCGCTTGATTTGCGCTCCGATTCGGCTTGACTGATTACCTCGTGGGCCGCTTTGGCCCAACTCTCCGGATCAGACATGTGTTCCTAGATGAGTTGAGATGAGATGATTTGGTCACGATCGAATTTAACAAAGGTGGGTGTAATTCTTTGCACGGATTTTGTTTTGAGAAAACCCTGAAGTGTATGAATTCATTATATACTTCAACAGGCAGGTGTGTAAATAAGCTTTTATCACTTCGTTTTACGGGTTTCTAACCCTGGTTTTGTCTGAAAATTGAAGTTGCTTGAGGAGAAAGAAATTAAATCGAAAAACTGATGGGTTATTCTTACAAGAAATCCGTTTACGATTAGTTCCTGGGATTTCCGTATAAATGGATAAAGCTTTTTTATAATGGTTTATTTGCCAAACTGAGTTACTGAGGTAGTGTAGTTATTGCGGTATGCACTGATCATGAAATTCGAATCACGGACGCCACGTAAGCATTGGATCACATTGGGACTAGCACAACAGTATCCCACGTAAGCGAGACGCGAGGAAAAGACCACAGGAATAGCAGCTTGTTTATTGAAAGAAATCAAGGGGTTTAAATAATATGCACAAAAACAAATTCATTGGTCATCCAAGCCAATTGCGTGCTAATATTTCTGGTGTTATTCAGCTTCTGTCTGGGCCGCACGGCTTCTGATTGGTTGGTACAATCGGCCTATGGTTTGTAGTGCAAAAGCTGTGACATGTAAGCGCTTTGCTGACGTCACCTGGGAAACTTGATTCCTTACAGTTGTCCGGAAACCGTAACATGTCGCTCTGTGGTGTGCGTCATCTTGTAGGCTAGGATCGCCGCAGGTAGCCAAGGTATGAATGCAATCATTTTTTGTATATAGCCCGTCAGTTTAATGTAGCAAACTCACCGCCATCCAATTACACTCATAAATGGTCTCTCGACAGTGTACTATTTCGTGTCTCGAGATGAGTGCATGGAGCCTGGCGATCTCTTCCTTCGGAAACACACTGTTTCAGCCAGGAATAAAAACAAATTCATTTTTACATGATAACTGTGGAGGATTGGGTCTGATCATGGGGTGAATCGTGTCGTATAAAAAGTAATCGAAGCGTGAACTGAAAAGCTAGTGAGCACTGGACAGCTTTTTCCACCAGGTTGCAATGTTTTCAACCGAATTGTAATCTTGGAGGCTAGTGCTAAGATGCGGAAGGTGCAATGGGTTGTGCTACATCATGTATATTGGGAAAATTAATTTTCAATTACTGGAAAATACCCGTGGATTGCATCGAGAAGTCAATTTGGCAAACAAGCTCGTTTTCGGTGCCTCATTTACTAGCCAAATACAGCACTCTTTTATAGGTCACAAAATCATATAGTTCAAGGAAATAGAATACGCGTAAGTAATGTCTGTGTTTGTATGCGTGTGTGTGTGGATAAATGGGATAATACAGTCAGGGGTGTATGTGAGTTCGAATCATTCTGCAAATGTCATTAGTACTGTCGAATGAATCAAGTGCATTTGACACTCATTTGATAACAAGCTTTATGTCATTCTAGCGTTTATGGCTGG